CTTGGGTAATAGGTAATCCCCTGGAATCTTACTCAGAGTCATATTCAGGGGTCTCCAGAGTAATCTCAGAATCTGGAAAAGCATGTTCTAATCATTTGGCTGCTCTGTGAGGTCAAGGGCTTTGTCACTGTGCCTGAACCTTCTTGGCATATAGAACACACTATGTATTGATCCAACGAGTGAATAAGTGAATTCAGCAGAAGTTTTCAATATGAAGCATGCGACTATCTTCTGTGTAGCTATCTTTGACAATGTTTTCCTCTTAGGATAGATACTACAGTCCTCTTGATTTCCAAAAAGCCAGAATCCTTCACTTTTTTTTTTATTTGGCTTTATTAGACCATCTTTTCTGAAGTTTTTTGAGACTGGCTTTATGGAGGCATAATTTCCATATCATAAAGTTTACCCATTCAAAGTGTACAATTCAGTGGTTTTTCCTACATTCGCAGAGTTGTGTTATTGGTGCAGGAAACACGCAATACCAGATGGAGCTTGTTGCCAGAAAGATCCAGGTTCCAATCCTTGTGTCCACCACTTACATGCTAGGTGATCTTTGGCAAACTTCTTAAATTCCTGAGGCCTTCGTTTTTCCTGGCTGTAGGGTGACCCGTTACTCGTGGGTCATTGTGAGGATGAGGCATTGTACACAGCGTGGGTGTCCAGCAAGCCATCTGTCCCTCCCCTTGAGACCCCCCGCACCCTTTAGCTGCCAAGCCACACAGGATGGTGAGCAAGGACAGAGCTGGCTCTGATGTGTGGTGTCCCTGAAGCCCCTGCCTCAGAAGCATAGACAAAGGATCCTAGTGCAATGGTGGCTCTTGCCCAACACCGGCCTATCAGCCTCGGGTACTTCCGGCTCTGGCCAAGGTCTCACCCCAGATGCCCCATCTTCCACCCATCAGCCATCTCCTTATTTTCCTTTCACAGTCTCATCTCAGTGGGTTCAACTTACCTCTCACAACCTCCCCCACAGACCCACTTGGACTCCAGTAAGTGGTATTCGTTTCGTCTTTGGTGGTTTCCTTCCCCACTGTGGTCCTTTTTGGAAGGTTCTCAACTCTTAACATTTTTCTTCACATCCATAGAATATTAATGCTGGAAGGAACCCTAGAGATGATCCAGCTAAACCTTTTAACACTTGAAGAAACTGAGGCCCAGAGAAGTGAGGTGACTTGGTTACATCATTAATTAATAGCAGGCAGGTCAAGACTAGCACACTGACGGCATTTAAGACCTATCTGTGGAGTGAGGGAGTGCTTGTTGGTGCATTTACTGCCTCGGTGACCCAGGGACCACATTGAAATCTGAGGGTTTGAGCTTGAATTTTGACCCACCTCTCTAGTCCTCTTTATCCACAAAATAAGGATAAACCTATAGTTGTTAGTGTTCACTCCTAAGGAATGAGATCAGAAGCCTTGCAAAGCATGGCATACTAAGTGGTTGTAATATTTATGTAGTCACCATTGTTTGGAGAAAGTGGAAATAACTTCCATCCTGATGAGAATCTGCACATTTGGTCTGAATCTTGTAATTCATTTTGGTTTCCCGTTTCTGAGTGGAGAGAGAGCTGACATTTTCCAGGCAGCTCTGGCTTCGGAGGGATCTAGACCCAGGGGATTCTGAGAGAATGTGTTCCCTGCGAGTTACCCTGGGCTAATGGATGGTATGGTGAGTAAAGGGTTTTGTACCAAGACCCTGAGAATGGTGGGTGGAGAGGGTAGGAGGAGGAGAAGCAGAAGATATCAGTAACAGGAAGAGAGAAAATCGGAGATGTCAGTAAGCCTCAGAATCTCTTTTAATTGATTTTAGATACACACATATATATTAAACAATTGCGGGCCATAATTTCTGATGCTAGCCATTTAGAAGTAGCAGTGCTTTCTTTTACAAGGCTTTATATATAATGTCAGAGAACTTTCTCTTTCTCTCCCTCTCTCTCTTCCCCCGCCTCCCCCCACACCTTCCCCTCTGTGAGTCAAATGCTAAATCCTTAGTGTGCAGGGGGCTGTGTAGGTCACACAGCCCCAGACAAGCGAAAGAGTCAAAACTGGGTGTTTTCCATCCAAGTAACTGTTAAGGGTCCTAATTTAAAATGAATAAAGCCTTTCAGCAGGACTGTGTTTTCCTAAATCAATTTGATTTTATGTAAACATTTATCTCTTTTGCACTTTTCCACCTTCCACACCATTCATATAATAATGCCTTCACGAACATTAATGTTTTCACCAGATACATTTTGGAGAAGGGGTGGGAGAAGGCGAGGGGAGCTATAACACACAGAGAACACATTATAAGGATTCCAGTTGTGGCAAAACTTTGCAAAAATCAAGGAGTCGATGAGAAAAAGTACTCGGTTTGGTTTTAGTAAGGGGGAGATGTAAATGACTGCTGGGGCTGTTGGAGGGCAAATGTGGTGTGGGGTGGGGGCTATTGTTTGGAAAGAGACTCAAGCGAGAAAGGGCAAGTTTTTAGTGTGTCATCAGAGACTCTCTGGGCGTTTTTATGAGGCCGTAGCTGATTCTGATCTGAATGTGCAAAAGAGGAAGGTTTCCCCAGCAAGAAATAACATGTTTAAATTCTGGTTAATCTTTACTGAGATAAAAGCAGCTCTCCTTTCTGACCCATTCCTGTTACTGTGGGCAGACTGTACCGTGAAAAGCATCGGCAGGTTGTGAATTTGGACACCGCATACAGCAAGGCAGAACCTTTTCTCTGCTGTCCTTCTGTAGGTAGCTCAGATAAAGATCCTGACACGTCCAGGGCACGGGACCTCCCACCCACCCCCTGAAAAATTGAAAGAGAGAAGTGAAAAGCAGATGTTATAAAATAACGAAAAAATTCTAAATTCACACTCAACCTTATTCCTAGATCGGGTCAGGAGCATGTTGCCAAATATTTTTAGCAAACAGAGAGTAAAAGAGCTTCCAATACAGAAAATACTCCAAAGAGTCAATTCTCCATCTCCCCTCCTTTATTGTCTACTGTTTATCTTCTCATTGAGATTTTTCTTAATGATACATACAATTAATTGGAGCACTCTCTAATTCTTTTGTGTGATTGTTAGAAAAAAATTAAACTAAGCAGAAGGTCATGATGAGAGTATTTCACCAACCGTTGCTTTAAAAATAGAATTTTTGGAAGCATTGTTGACTTTTACTTATTCTTGTTGGTAAATCCTGGGGAAAATGTATATCTTTTCCTTTAAAGTTCTAATTCAAGGCATGGATGTGAGAGTTCTGAAGGGACTTTGGGACTGCGGTAAAATTTCGTTGTCATAGTAACAGAAAGGGAAATAGGCCCAGCTCACCTGGGACTTTAACACTGCAAAAGCTGGAATTCTTTTTTTTTTCCCAAGGAAAGGGACTCTGCAAGTGAAATAAATGAAAAACTTACTGTATTTTGAAACAAAATTTTAAACATTAACGAGGTGTGTTGCTGGAAAGGCCACTTCTTATGTTTTTCTTGGTTGATGTAGTTGTCTGATTAAAGATACCCAATTTAAAAATTGCACAGACAGGTCATTTAGGAGAATATTGGGTTCAAAAATATGTCTTACAAATGATAACTTCAGACCATGATTCTGTGCCTTTGCATTTTTCCGGAAAATCTATAGACGGTCTGAAAGGACTTTCACACTTGTTATGAATCATAGAAACCCCAGCGTATACCTGCATAGACGGACTTTGTCTGGTAACATACTGTTTTGCATGGTAACATACCATTTTCTGATTTTATATACATTGGTTGAATCTGTCAGGCCATCTTCTTGTGTGAGCATGAAGGTGTGTGTGGCCAGTGCAGAGCCACATACCCTGAAATTTTGGGCCAAGTCCTACCATTTCTAACCCTGGAGCAAGACATTCTGTACAGCAGGGGTCACTGCTGTGTTGAAAGCCTTTTTTTGCAGAGCGGGTGCTCTAGAAACTCCAGGCTGGTGTGCAAACCAGAGCCCAGCTTGTGAACCAC